AAGGGGTTACTGAGCTGTGTGTGAGTACACAGGGAACAAGGGGTTACTGAGCTCTGTGTGAGTACACGGGGAACAAGGGGTTACTGAGCTGTGTGTGAGTACACAGGGAACAAGGGGTTACTGAGCTGTGTGTGAGTACACGGGGAACAATGGGTTACTGAGCTCTGTGTGAGTACATGGGAAACAAGGGGTTACTGAGCTCTATGTGAGTACACGGGGAACAAGGGGTTAATATTTTGGGATTGGACTTTTAATGACTAATGGGAGATCCCAGTATAATAAATATATATTGAATATTGTTATATAGCTCTAATAGCCCTGAGAAAGAATGGGTTAATTAGTACTCCAGAGAGATTTTATTAGATTTTGATTTGCTTACACAGTGATACAGTTTATCAAGTTCAGCTTTTGACATGACTCTGTTTTAATTTCCAATTGAGGCTGGAGGGGGATCTTCATTGACCCCCAAATGGCAAAAAGCTGTTACCCCAGGTATTATAAGGGCAGTTTATGCACCATAAACACTGCAGTGTGCTGTATTGGTTATGGAGTCAGGAGCCCCCAGGCCAAATCCCACTGACTTTAATGGAAATGACTGCAGACAGAATACACCTGCAGCCATAACTAATACTGCTCACTGCAGTCGTCATTGTACTTATAGTGCTACTTTAATCATTATGTAAAAAATCCAATGAAAGCTATAATAAAATCCTATATGCGCAAAAAGATGAAATTATTTTTTTTAAGTTGCATTGGAGCTGCTGCGTGCGATATAAATCCATACTGAGCATGTTATGCAGTGAGCTCACCCACACCAGGAAATAGCTCTGCTCATCGAGATATTCCCAACGGTAACAGAGTAAACCCCTGCATTGCAATTGATATAACATAACCTACTGGGGATGCACATATTGTTAAAATCTATAGGTCAACAAACTGTTACCGCAAAGAAGTGGTGTAAGTACCATAACTACCACAGCAGGCTGTTTAGGTCATGATGCAAGTAATTACCTGGTGCCACCCCTCAGTAGTAGTCAAACCATTTTCAAACATTTTGACACTTACCTGTGTCCCTCAGGTGCCCACAATGTGGCCCCTCTTCAGGTATAACTAAACAGAACTTCCCAAATAGGCGCTAGATACAGTATATCAACTTCATACCTATTTGCATGTTGTTCATTGGCTGAAGGAGTCAGCTGACACTAATATGGAAGTAGGGACTAACACCTTACTGACATCTGTGGGGCTCAGCCACAGACACATGGGGAACTGAGGTAAGTGCACTTTGTTTTTCCCTAGGGATGGTATCAGGGGAATCCTGACACCATAATCACTACAGTGCAAATAATCAATGTATCTTTAGTATATCCTTGAATATTCTAGTTTTCAAAAAAGCTTTCAGACTGTTCCACACTTTTGGTAAAGTTTAGGATTGACATTACTGTTAGATAGACAATCACAACTTTTTAATTTACATTACACTACATAGCTCCACTTATGATTCATCTGAGCTTTTTACATTTGAAAATGTGTTACTTTTTCGTTAGAATAATCTTATAAATGTGTTTATTCTTATTTTATTTCAGTTTTTTTTTCTTGATTGGTGTTTAACTAAAATCCTTAAGGATGGCATCGAAAAAAGGATTGGATAATGACTCACGATTTAGTCGTGTTACAAAAGATCCTCGGTTTTGGGAAATGCCAGAAAACGAAAGGAAGATTAAAATTGATAAGCGTTTTAAATCTATGTTTCACGACAAAAAATTCAACCTTAAATACACCATGGACAAGAGAGGCAGGCCAATGAATCACAACACTAGAGAGGATCTTAAAAGATTTTATGATTTGTCAGATTCTGATGAGTTATCAGATGAAGAGATATCCGAAAAGGCCCCGAAGGAAAAAGAAACCCGTAAAGCTAAATTAAAGGCACAGTTAGAATCTGATCCTCCTAAAACATGTGACAAGTTACAGAAAGTGGAGAACAAGCTTAAAGCAGCCGGTAAGGGCAAGAAAAATGAAGCCAATAAAAAAGTAAAGGATGAAGTTGGATCACTCCCAAAAGAAAATGTGAAAGGAAAAGATGGACTTCTCAAGGCCAAACAAAAATCAGAGACCATTCTTTCTTCCCCAGCAAGTACGAAATCTGTCCGTCAAGGCACTAAAAGTAGTGCTCAGCAAGAATCGGAGGAAGACGAATTAGGTTGGTTCAATAAATCCTTTTAACATATATATTGTAGCTTTCCCTATTCCCTGTTACTAACATTTTAGAAGCCTGTGGGATTCAGTGACTGCTAGATGGTTTAAATGATATAGCAACTTATATGAGTGCAATAATTTCACATCATTTTACTTGTGTATTCGCTGTTTGTTCTTTCTTGAATTACTGAATTACTTATAATGAGAAATGTTGATGTAAATCTGCTCGCTACATATCAAGGACAGGGCTCAAAATATCCACTCACACACTAGCCATTGGCACATAGAAATGTATCTTTTGAGAGTGTACCATGGACTCCCAAGGCTTGCAGTGGCTTACAAATTTTAGGCCTGGCTTGCAGCGGAGGACTTTATGTCCCGCTATGGCTATCTATAACATATAGGACAGAAGCACTCTTGTTGACAACACAAATGATCGGTCAACACTAGAATGTTGATGACAATATTCAGGTCTCTAACATGGGATTTTATTGTCACATTTTCTGTTTGGCCGCTGCTAAGGCCTTGAAGGGGTCCTTGTAGGGAAGCTTTGTTGGACAGCAGTCTCTCCTGCACAGCTTGCATGCGTGCCATCTTCTCTCAAAGGCTTAACACCACTAGAGCGGCAGCTCTTTCAGATGATCTCGACCTGCTGGAGGCAGGCAGCTTTAGCATAACTTGTGTTAAAAGTCCTAGTCAAGTGAACACTACAATTTTTGTTGGAGACCCGTTAATACTGCTGGTGTGGCAGCCCTACACATACCTAGCCTGCTGGTGCCCTGTGGGAAAATAGGACAGATATCCCAAATAATCTGACTGAAGGAAGCAGGGCCATCACACAAAAGTGAAACGGTTCTCAAATCTGTCATGTTTTTAGAGTGATGGCCAATCACTCCCTTATCTAGTTTACTTTTAAGATTTTATTTATAAAATAAACAGTGTCTGAGAGACATATCTAATGACTACTGTGGCACACGCTTTTTAAAAAAAATGTCTTCTTAAGCATAAATATTCTGTAACATCATAATTTCATTTCTAAAAATTTTTTGTTTTTTTTGATGAATAAGCATGTGTTTGTTTGTGTTTTATTTTTCCTGTGTGAGTTAAAATATTTTTTTAACTTTTTTTTTTTTTTTTATTGGTGTAGGATTTGATAGTGATGAGGATGACAGGACAGTTTCCTCTGAAGCTGGTGATTCAGAACTTGATGAGGATTCGGATAGTGAAGAGGAAAGTGAGGAAGGAGCAACTGAAGATGAAGAAGGAGAGGACTCGGAGGAAGATGAAGCAAGTTCTGCAGAAGTGGAAGAGGAAGACAGTGACAGTGGTCCTGATCTGGCTAGAGGCAAAGGGAATATTGAAACAAGCTCTGAAGATGAAGACGAGGATGATGATGATGAGGACATTGAGGATCTGACAAATAAAGACTCTGAGATTGAACATGCCTGGAGAGAATTGGACAAGGACGCGCCTCGCGGTGACCAGGTAGAGTGGAGAAACAAATTGCTTCCATGAACCATAAATGCACATTTTTACTAAATAAATAGCATCCAAATAATAAATGGTTAATCCAAACATCTTAACCAAGCAACATAGTCTAAGGCAAAGGAAAGGAATTTTTACTGTAAGAACAATAAGGAAGTGGAATTCTGGATAAAAAGTGGTTTTATCAAAGTCTGTACAGATGTTTAAACAGCTACTAGATACATACTTGCAAAAACAGAATATTCAATGATATAATTTTTCAATGTAGGGTAATAGCTTCTTGATCCAAGGATAAATGTGACTGCCATTTTGGGGTTCCAAAGGAATTTTTTTCCTAGTTTATTGCAAAATTGGAAGTGCTTCAAACTGTATTTTTTTTTTTTTTGCCTTCTTTTGGATCGACGGCAAAAACAGATGTGACGCTGAACTTGATGGACGCAAGTCTCTTTTCAGCCTGTGTAATCACTACAGACTGTTGTAGTAGTTACAGTGGCTGGTATGGGCTAAGTTGCCTTTTACCTAGGTTCCACCGGGAATCGAGCCTCCAAGAATGGCAACTGAGCTGCATTAGGCTTCTGTAGAGCTAGAGGGGCCAGGTGTACTGGCTGAGTGCCTGCACATGGAACTTTTACAAAATTAACATTCAGCCTTAAAATCTTGTCCTGAGCTGGGTAATGAAAGCTCCTGAAGGTGTAATTACACCGCAGGCAGCAACATTCAGTAACTGTTTGTCTGCAGTGTTTCATACTGTAACACTGCACCTACAGGAAGCTTGAACCATAACCATGTCAAAACACTGAAGTGATCATGGTGGTTGGAGTAACCTTTTAAGGACAAATTGGTAAACAAAACTTGTGACTGAAATCAGTATTGCAATAAATGCGGTTTTCTACGAATTCCTGTCTGAAAAGTGAATTCTTCAGTATTATGAGATTGGCTATGCTCAATACTTTCAG